AATCATTGAGACCAACAAACGTCAGCGAAAAGTAAGTTTTTTTTTTTTTTTTAACTCATTTGTAAGATTTGAAACTTTTTAAGACGTGGTTCTAGAATTTTCTCTTCTCTCTCTCTTGCCTCTTTGTGTGTGTGTGTGTGTGTGCGTGTTATTGAAATCTAACTTAAACAATACAAAATACGTTAGTTATTTCGATCATGCTTCTTTTTTTTTTTTTTGAATATATTTGGTTGGCACAACTGTCCGGCTTCTTCTTTTAAATTGTCTTGAAATGATTTTCTGTGATCTCAGCATGACCGAAATCATTTATGTTTTTCAATTCCCACACATTCTGGCAACTGTCAGTTCCATGTTTGCCAACCATTTTTCTCCAGACAGGAATGTTTACTTAATTTACAGGAATTCCTTCTTATCATGGCTTCCACGATTCCATTTGTTTTTATTCGTTGTTGGTTCCAATTGTGCTTAGGCCTGTTATCATTATTATTATTAATGGAAATCAATCAATCAATCTGTTTGATTTGAATGGTTTTACAAAAGCGAAAAATTTTAATTCTGCTTTTTTGAATTAATTAAAATTTTTTTCGTTTAAAAAAAAATTGGGGTCAAGTGCTTCTGCTACTTTTATTTTTTTGGGGGGTTCTACGTAAAATTAACAAACTGACCTCCTTCCCCCCTTCCCTCCCTTTCTCCCCTTCGGGAAAAAATCGTGACTTAAACTGTTAAGAATTAATTTATTATTAAAATTTAAAATTATAAAAAAGTTTTTTTCTTTTTTTTTTTTTTTTTGGTTCGTTCTGGAATTAAAGTCTCGGGTTGTGTGACCCATTGGGGACAAAAGGTCATTGTTCTTCTATGTGGTCAATAATTTCACTTGATCGTTATTTAAATGTATTTTCACCCCCCCCTCCTCTTAACGCTTTTTTTTTGGGGGAGGGGAGGAAGGGGGAGAGAAAGAAAGGGCAAGCAAATGAGGTTTTTTCGATTCGATTTTCAATTTTGATTTTGTTGTTATTCGATTTAAAATGTCGTTTGTGAATATTTTTAAAAAAAAAAAAAAAAAAAAAAGGGAGAAATTATTTATTTATTATTCGGTCGATGCACCACCTCCACCGCCGCCACCACCCCCACCCCCACCCCCTTAATTATTTATTAAAATAAAATAAAACTCAAATAACTAAGACAACTTTTCAAATCGTTGAAACAAACCAAAACTCGAATCGAATGATTTATTTTTATTTTTTTTTATCGATAATTGAATCGATCGATAAATCGTTTAAACCTCTCGAGATTTTGGAAAAATTTTCATTTTTTAAAAAAAAATTATTTATTAATAAACGTCGTCTGTTAATCTTTTTTTTTTTTTAATTTAAACGTTTTTTTCTTTTCAATGCGTTTGTTCGTTCGTTGGTTTGTTTGTTTGTTTGTTTTCTCAGAGATTGTTTCCGTTTCCGTTTAAAATAACGAATTTTATTAAAATTAAGTTTATTTAGCGTTACAATAAATAATTAAAGTGAAATAAATAAGGTTTAAATGCGGTCGGTTATAAGAAAAAATTAATAATTTAACGATTTTTTTTTTTTTTTTTTTCAAATTAAATCGGAGTTAAATTGTTTTGCGTGAAAAGTTTTTTCCTTTTTTCCAATATGGCGGCTCTCTAATGGGGGTCAGTTAAAACGTCCACTCAATTTTTCAGTTGCTAACAAATAATGTACATTTAAATATCTTTTTTCACAATACGTGCGAGTGGATTTTCCTGGATTTTCATTTTTTTTTTTTTTATTTATTGTCGTGTGTGAGTGAATAATAATAATAATAATTTTTTTTATTTAATTGGGGGAGAAAAAAATAAAAAACAAACGAGTGAAAATTTTTTGTTGAGTTTGATTAAAGTTTTTTTTTTTTTTTTTTTTTTTTAAATCAATCATCGTTCGAAAAATGTTATGTGATAAAAAAATGTCGGAAGAAAACGATGATAATAATAATTTATCAGAGGGAAAAAAAATAAACGATAATTCGAAAGGGACAATTTCATTATGGCCATTTTATTCTTTTATGAAAAATGAAGAAAAGGAAAAAATTAAAATTAAAAAAAAAAAAAAAAATATTTTTTGGAAACCATCTCTGTTGCTCTGTTGCGGTTTACATAAAAATAATTTGGTATCGACAGAAAACGTCATAACGACTTTTAATCCCGAATTTTTTCCAAAAAACGGGAAAAGGTATACCAAAACCTTATTTTTTTTCCAAAATAAATAAATAAATTTATTAAAGTTCGTTTACCCTTTCAATTTATACACGTATAAAATTAATTGAGGGTTTTAAATGTAAGAAAAAAATCAAACGATTGCATTTATTTAATACTATTATTATTATTATTGAAACGAAAGGAAAAAAAAGAAAATTTTTCAAGTTTCAGTCACGAAAATTTTTTATTTAATGTACATACAAACACACAGCCTTGACCACAAACAGCTTTTGAGTCATTTAGGTAAAAAAAAATTAAATTATCGATTAATGAAAATTCAAAAAATAAATAATAATAATAATAAAAAGGGAAAATATAGCGTCGTGTCACGATGATGATGATGAGTATAATAATATTAATAATTGTTTTTTTTTTATTATGTAATTTAGAAAAGTTATTGAAATAGAAAATCATTATTCATCTTCTCCATCATTAAAATCCACGACGTCGACGCCGCAGCAAAATACAGGAAATGGATTTAACGAATCCCCCATTTTTCTTCCCAATATTCATTCCAATAATAATAATAATAATAATCAGGATTACGACGTATCGAAATCATACAAGCAAAATAATAAATTAGATGACGTAGATGAAATTAAAATAGAAGATACGATAAGTCAATTTTCCGGTTTATTATCGGTATTAAAACGAATTATTATTATCATTATTATTTTTGTTTTTTTGTATGACGTCATAAGGTATTTATTAATATATTTTACAGAATTCGAAAAGTGTAAATAAAACGAGAGATTTTAATTCGAGTCAAATTCAACCGTTAGATTCTCATATAAATTACATAAATTTTTCATCTGATAAGGATCCTGATATTTCCACGTCAAACGATGATAAATTTCAGGTACGCGTACCTTTTTCTTGTTTTTTTTTTTTTGAATTTTTTCAGAGTAAATTAATTTGAATTTTTTTGGGGGTTTAGAACGCGATTGTTGTAGGCGATGATGATTTTAATATTAATTCGGCGGAACCATTTTCAAATTCTGTTAATTCCGCTCCTCCGATAATCAATACAAATTCGAGAGATCAAACGACGCCATCGACTTCGAGTTCGAACAGTATCGATATCGGTACTTATAGCGGAAGCGAATTGAGATTAAGAAGACGCGGAAACGGTTGGTAACAATGAAAGTTTAAATCCTCTTTCGTGCATGAATTAAATTTTTCTCTTGTATTTCAGAGCATCATTCGAGCGGTAACAACAGCAGACGACTTTATCGTAATAATTACGGTTCGAATAACGTAAAGGTAAAAAATAAAAAACCGTTAATATCAAAAAGTGCGAATAAAATCGGTGTTAGCAGAAGTCCTTTTCCAACGAATTCAAAACCGTTTGAAAAACCTAAAGAAAGTTTAGAAACTTGTTTCAATCAGTTAGAAAGTCAACAATGGTAATCATTATTATTATTATTATTATTCTAATATCGTTTAAATTGAAATTAAATGTTTAATGACCTTTCTCTTTGAATAGGGAAGCTAACATGTTAGGTTTGAATTCTCTTGTGAGACTTTTACGTCATCATCCTTCCATCGTATTAGGACAATTACATAGTATTATAGTAGCTCTAGGACAACAAATAAGAAATCTTAGATCTCAGGTTGCTCGTACAGCTTGTCAAGTGTCTGCCGAAATGTTTCTCATACTAAAAAGAAACGTGGAATTAGTAAGTAAATTCTTTTATGTGCATCAAAAATGATTTTTAAGAAAATATAATTTCACGTTTTGTTTTCGTAGGATTTAGAAGAATTGTCAGGACCTTTATTTCACAGATCCGCTGATACAAATCGATTCATAAGAGCTGATTGCAACGATGCTTTAGATAACATGGTTGATAATGTTGGACATGCCAAGGCAGTCAGCGTTATCATATCCAAAGGAATCATGTTGGTAACATTTGTTGTTTAAGTTTTGAAATAACAAATTGGATGAATGAAATTTATCCCTTTTTCTTCCTTCAGGCATCAGAATGCTACCGTAAGAGCTGTTGCTGCCAGATTACTGTTGAGGTTATCAGAAAAAGTTGGTCCTGAAAAACTTTTATCCCTACCTAAAGAAATCCGAGAAAAAATGTTATTATCGGGAGCTAATTTACTAACGGAAGGGAAATTGGAAACAAGGTGAATATTTTGTTTTAATTGTTTTAATGTCAATTTTTTTGTTAATTCAAATACAAAAAAATATAATTTATATTTACAGAGCGTTTGCCAAACAAGTCTTTCGAATATGGTCTTCTCATCCTTCATTTAATAATCTTTTGTTGGAAGCTGTTCCTCCAAATATTATGCGTCAAATTAGTAAAACATTAATTTCTATTAAATCATAATTTATTCAAACTGTTTAATTATATACACACATTTTTTTTTTAATTTTTTATATATATATATAAAATAAATGTTGTATTTTATAAAATGTTTTCTATTTAATGTTTTTTTTTTCAATAATTGAAATTAATAAATTGTTTCCGACATTTTGTTCGTTTTTTTTAATAATTTACCGCGAGAAATACGGTTCGTGTCAGCATCATTTATTAAATGTAACTAGTGCCACTTTAAAATTCCTATTAATGTATTATTTCTCTATGAACCTCAGTTAATTTTTTAGTTTCGTGTTATGTTTGCCGGTGATGTTATCTTATCTTGTTAAATAATAAAATGTTTTTTTTAGACCTAACAGTAAATTTAATTTTTTCAGTATGTGTATTTTTCATAACAGTTAATACAATTCCAAAAGTAATAAAAGTATTTCTTAATGCTAGTTTATTCGGTATAGATGTAAATAAAGCAACCGGTGATAAATTGTAAGCATTTAATTTATATTCCAATGTGCTCTTTCAAAAATTGCTTTGTGTTAAATTTTATTTCTTCTTTTATGATTTAACACGTTGCATTTTATAGTTGTAAGATACAGTTATACGAATATTGCTTATTCGTTTAAAATTTTTAATTTTAAATATGGCTATTTTTTTTTTTATAATAATTAATAATGTGCAGAATTACATTGACCGTTGATTTTTTTTTGTTTCAGACCCGAAGCCATGGGTGTTGTTGCCGGTTGCATTTATTTAATATTTATGTTCCTTTACATACCAGTACCATTTAGCGATGCTTTTCTTGTTGAAAAGAATTTTCCACATAATGAGGTTTATTATTATTATTTATTTATTTATTTTTGTTAATCATTTACTGTTAAATAAGTACTAGTTATTATTACAAAAAAAAATTTTTTTTTAGTTTGTGGAAATGATAGCAGCCCTATTATCAATATGTTGTATGTTACTTTTAGGATTTGCTGATGATATTTTAGACTTGAGATGGAAACATAAATTAATTTTGCCTACAATTGCATCATTACCATTATTAATGGTATATTATGTTAATTTTAATTCAACAACTGTAATTATACCCAAGATATTAAGGTCTCTTATTGGATATTCTGTAAATTTAGGTATGGTATATTAAACTATCAATTATAACCTGATTTTTTTTTTGTTTTTACTTCACATTCTGGCATATTTACAAATTCAATACCAAAATCATTACTTTGTTTTAGGTTTTCTATATTATGTATATATGGGAATGCTTGCTGTATTTTGCACAAATGCCATTAATATATTAGCTGGAGTTAATGGACTTGAAGTCGGACAATCAATTATAATTGCCATATCAATTGCATTACTAAATTTTATCGAGTTATTCGGTGATCATTATAAAGCTCATAGATTGTCACTTCAATTTATACTACCATACATTGCCAATTCGATTGCACTCCTTAAATATAATTGGTAAGTTTTTTAAATGTTTTTTTTTTTTTTTCTTTTATTTTATAAATGCAATGATGATAATCTGCTATGGTTTCGCAAAATTTCATTTCTGATTTGTTTTTTAATGAAAGCTATCTTGGCAGACTGAGCTTTAAGTAAAATAAGTATAATAGCCTATATCATATTTAAAAAATTTTTAACTTTACAATTTATGTCTACTCTTGTTTTAATGCACTTATTTTTTTGATGGGAAAATTACTGATGAGCATAGTTTTTAAAGGAGTTTTTATAATTGTAGGGTAAATAAAAATACTTTGCTTAAATTTAAAAATTTTAATCTGAATCATTCGTGTTAAAAAAAAAATTGACAAAAATGGAACTTAGTTATAATCAGCCTTATTATATAAATTAATCATTAAATTAGAGTACTTCCAATAATGTTGAACCACATATTCAGGAGCATAATAATTATCTTTGCCTTCGTAGTTGTTTATTAGTTGAGTTTTCCCATCAATGTAAATTCCATCCCCTATAATTTGCTCTAAATATTTTTCATCTATGAGATCATGGTTAAGAAAATTTTTTCCATTCTGTTGGTCAGTAGTAGATTGTATAAAATTAGGAATTTCATTAATATTGTAACAGAGTTCACAAAACCATCCTCCATAATGATTTAAATCGCCAACCACAAACCATACTTGGCTTTGTATTAAATTCGGATCATTATCATACAAGTTTTCCAACATTAACACCGTAGAGCCTGCTGTAACTTTTTTTGCTTTATTTGGATGCTGGTAAAAGTACCCAAACACATTCCATTTCAGTCTAAATTGTACAGGCAACGTAAAACCGTCGAATAATTTAAAAAATAAAAGTGCCTTAGAGTTGGGTATTTCTAACGAATCTAATTGTATAAAAATGTCATCGTCCCTCAGATTTTTTATTATCTTACGAGATTTTTCCCATGATATTTTACTCGCTGATTCTTTTTCTCCTCCTGACTGATATATAGGAGTAAAAAGGATTTTATGTTGTTTACCCTGGCAAAGACCTTTATCTAATTTTAATTTGAAATAAAAAGGTTTGCTTTCTCCATTTTGATTGAGGTCGGATTCTGCGACTATAAAAAGATCGACAATATCGAAGAGCTCGTTAATTTTAATGGCAGCCAAAGGAATTTGTGCTGGATGAGTAATCACAAACATGTGTATTATTCTTCTGGTTTTGCTTCTCTTTTGTATTATGGCTTCCTGTCTAAATGCTATGAAAGCTCTCCATATAACTTCTGGAAAACTGCAATCGTTCCCATGATAGCCTGGCATACATTCACACTTTTCAACTCTGTTATAAAATTTTGATTTTCTTTTCATGTACCTAAAATAAAAATGCCACTTTTTTTTTTAGAAATCTGCGAACATTTTAATTAATTTTCTTGTTACAAAATATCTTAAAATAAACTTTACAATCAAACATACTCAACATCTGTTCCCATTTGATAGCACACTGTATCGTTAACTGTAATAAAAAATTTTTCTATTTTTTCAGTCTTCAAGTAAATCTCTGTGTTAACATCTGAATGATAATAGACTTTGAATTTACTTAAACCCAATTTACTAAAAATAGTTTGATTCGATTGATCTAGAAAACTTATCGACCCTTTAGATCCCCACAATTTTTTATGAGATCCATTATTCCAAGATGCGGAAAAATTTAAATAAGCAATCAAAACTAAAATTTGCAATGCTAGAAAAGTCCATAAAAAAATATGATTTTGGTCGAATTTAAAATGAATTTGCATATCTGATTCCGGCATTCATCCTGAAATTATTGTAATAATCATTTTTTAAGTTTGTAAAGTATTTTATGAGTATTAGAATATTAAATATGAGTAATTTTAATTTGCATTTTTTTTACCACAGTTAATATTTGATATTTACCTAGACACACCCCATTTGAAATTGAATTATTTATAAAAAACATTATTTAATTTTCTCAAAACAAAATCCGTTTATTTTCAAAAATACTTTTTTTTTTTAAACATCACGTTGCCATTGTATTTTTCAATCAACATTTTGTAATTATATTGAAAATTTTAAATGACTTTACTAAACACACCCAAGCAACCATATTTTTTCCTACTCTGTGACAAGTTTTAATAATTTTGGGAACAAACTCAAAACGTACTAACTCCAAAATTTAAATTATTATTATTATTTTTTTTTTTTTTTTATTATTAAATTCTCATTACTCTTATGATTGAAATTTGATTCGCATTTACAAAAATTAAACTTTAAAATTGATTAAACGTTTTTGTTTAAACATTAAAACTGTGTAAAATCTTTTATTATTATTATTATTATTAATAAAAATAATTATTTTTCGTACAAGCGCCCGAGTTTTCATTTTAATAAACTTAAATAAATTAAATTAATCAAGTTAATTCGATTTGGTATTCATTTTATTTCAGGTATCCGGCAAAAATATTTGTTGGGGATACGTTTTGTTATTTTTCGGGAATGACTTTTGCCGTTGTTGGAATTTTGGGACATTTCAGTAAAACGATGTTGCTTTTTTTCATACCTCAAGTTTTCAATTTTCTTTATTCTCTTCCACAACTGTTTAAATTCATACCGTGTCCGAGGCACAGAATGCCCAGGTAACTATATCATCAATAATAATAATAATAATAATAATATTCATCGTGGTTGAAATTATATTTAAATGAGGTTTATTTTTAATTATTATTATTATTCAATTTGATATAAAAATGTATCCACCATTCGATAAAACAATTTATCAAATATTATTTTTATAATGAATTAACATTGGTTAATTTAGCTGATGTCATTACGACGGTAGCGTGGCCGAGCGGTCTAAGGCGCTGGTTTAAGGCACCAGTCTCTTCGGGGGCGTGGGTTCGAATCCCACCGCTGCCAGTTAAATTTTTTTTTCTTTTTTTTTTTTTCTTTTTTGCTTGTCTCAGGTGGTTAAATTGCAAATTAATGATTTTTTTTTTTTTTGTTTAATTTTTTATTGTAAATTTTAGGTTAAATAAAAATACAGGTTTACTCGAACCAAGCGTGACAATAATCAATAATTCAGATTCGATGAATTCAATATTAAAATTATTCATTCGTTTACTCTCTGGTTTGAAATTACTCCAAGTGAAAAATGATGGAAATTCATTAATTATTAACAATATGACGTTGATAAATTTGTTGTTGGTTTGGATGGGTCCATTACACGAAGCAAAATTGACTACATATTTAATAATTGTACAGGTAATGGAGAAAAGAAAAGACATGTTTATAGTTTCACAGCAAAATGTATATTTGAATAAATGTAAATGATGATACACATAAAAATGGTTTTGCTAATTATTATTATTCTGAAGAATAATGATTAATAAATGATATCTTGGCAGTCTGAACATTTTACTCTTTATTTCAGTACATATTATTATTATTATTATTATTATTATTATTATTATTATTATTATTACAAACTATTCAGCATATTTTTCTTGTTATTTTAGGTGATTTGCAGTTGCATTGCATTTACCATACGATATCCGTTGGCATTTTTATTTTATGATCACATTGGATAATTAACAATAGAAAATAGATAATTATTTACCAAAAGTTTCATTCTAGTCAAATTTTGTAATAAATTTACCAAAAGAAAAAAAATTATAATTTTTATTATTTCTATTAAAATGTTAAAATAATAAATATTATTTTGTATAAAAATAAAATGAAAAAAAATTTACACTATTAAAATTTTTTATATTGTTAAATTATTTTCTTAAAATAACCAATATAACCACCATATAACATAACCATATATAACATTAATAACCACCTTAACTACTCTAAACAATTAAGCACTTTAATTATTTATAAATTTCCTTTAAAATATTAAAAAATTAATATTATTAATTTAAAAAAAAGATTTTTATTTTATTAATTTCATTCTTAAAATTATTTATTAAATTTATTGCATCGCAAATTATGAATATTTATTTTTAAGTTTCTATTTTGTGTACAAAAATCAAAATGGCGGGAAAAATGTGAAACAAGGTCATGTGATCACTTCCGTTTTGAAGTTGTCGTCGACTGTACGTGAATTTTTTTTAAATTTTTTTTATTTAGTTTAATTTTGTATATCAAAGAGATACATTTCGAAAAAACGGTTTTAATTAAACTATTAATTATTTTTTATAATTAAAAAGTGTTTTTTTTTAAATATTATTATAACGCATGCAGTAATTTACGACATGTTTTTGTGGTTTACAATGGTCGTTAGTTTTAGCGCCAAGTTTAGTTTAACCATTTTTTGACGCTTTGAAATTTACCTTTATGAAAATATTTATGTAAAAAAAAAAAAGAAAATTAAGTGTTTTTAAATATTTTTTATTATGAGTGATGAATTTAATGCTTTAAAATGTTATTATTATTTATATAAAAAGAAATTAAGAAATCACATCATGTTGCTCAGATGTCATTCTTAAGGAATTAAATATAAATATATATATATTTGGTAAGTACTAGTATGCTTTAAAATAATGATTTTAATTAAGATTTTTACAATCAATACTTAAAATATATTCTAAAACAATTGCCATTGTGCCTCATAAAATAATTTTGAAATTTTATTTTTAAGGAATTGTTGTTATGAATTAAATAATTCTTTGCCATGGGTGAAAATAAGGAAAATGAATGGAATCAAAATATGAATAATTCAAACAGTAAGTACACTATATTACTTATTTTGTTTTATTATCTATCTAAAACATTCAATTTTTGTTTTTTATGTTTTTGTACTCGACACTCGAATGATTCTTAATTTTATAAATACATTTATTATTTGTATTACATATATATATGTGAATACTTTTAGTCTTGGAAGTTTTGGCTGGAAAAATTGAATGTTTGCAAATAACTAACTTTATGTGTCATTCGAATTTGGAAATCAAATTCAATAGCATGATAAATTTTATCACTGGACGAAATGGAAGTGGGAAAAGTGCAATCATGACTGCTTTAATCGTAGTATTGGGAGGTACAGCAACTATCACAGGCAGAGGATCTGGTCTTTCAGGTTTCAATCATGTATTATTTACTTTTTTAAATTTAAATTTTAAATCTTTCTTACAATATACACAATCATCTTTTAAATTTTAGATTTTATTAAAAAAGGTGAAAATTGGGCAAAAATCTCGATAACATTATTAAACGAAGGACATAATTCTTATAAAAAAGAATACTATGGAAGTAAAATCATAATATCGAGAAATATATCGAAAACAGGGTCTAATTCATATGTATGTAAATCAGAAAATGGTGTCATTGTGTCTAAGAAAAAAGAAGAAGTTGATAAAATAATATTAGCTTTCAATTGGCAAATAAAAAATCCTGTTTGTATATTAAATCAAGATGTTGCTCGAAGTTTTTTATGCACTAGCGATGATGAAATGAGATTTACAATGTTTTCAAAAGCTACACAGTTGGATTATTTAAAAATTTTATATGTTAAAACAATGGAACTTTTAACAGTGACTAAAAAACAATTACAAATAAAAGAAAAGGTAAAAAAAATAAAAAGATTTAAATTAGACGAAACATTTGTCATATGTTTCTAAGTATTGAATTATATTTTTAACATGCATATGTAAATTCATTTTCATATTTTTTTTTTTTTTTTTTAAGGGAGTAGAAAAAGCAAGTCAGGAAGTGCAAAGTCTCAAAGAAAAACTAGCATTATTTGTAAGTTTAGAAAAACGTGTACACGAATTAAGAGATTTAGAAAATGAATATTTATGGTCTTTGGTAAGTAATTTTTATTAATTGTTTACATACATTTTTATTTTTCTAATACATAATTTTAAACTGTTTCAGGTTGCTCAAGAAGAACAAAAATTAGTTAAATTTAACATAGAAAAAAAAAATTTACATAAAAAAAAGGAAGAAATTTTACAAGTGGAAATTAGTTTTGAAAAAACACTCGGTGATTTAAAATTAGAAATGGAAAACATTGAAAAAAAAGTAAAAGAATTAAAAATTTTAGAAAAAGAAAATAAAAATGTCAAACATAGTATAACAAATCAAGTTTTTGAATTAGAAAATGAAATACAAAAAAATGAAACTCAATTGAATCATTTTTTAGGAAAAGAAGAAAGAAATCAATCTGATATAAATGGAATTAAAGAACATTTGATGAAATGCGAAACCAGGTTTGTTAATTTTTTTTTATTATACCTAAAATCAAAAATCTAATTGAAATGTTTATGATTGATTGGTTTTTATTAGTTCTTCTCAAGATGAGGAGGGAAAAAAACAAATCAGCAATAAAATAAGTAAATTAAAAGAAAATTTAACCGAATTGAGAGAAAAAATGAAAAATATTGAAATCGAAATGAATTCAGCTCAAGATGCAAAAATGCAAAACTCAAAAATATTAGAAGGTTTAAATTTAGAAGTTGAAGAATTACAACAAAATAAAGTAAGATTAGAAACTCTTATTAGAAATAGTAAATTAAAAAATCGAAATAATTATCATAAATATGGTCCATTTACACAAGATTTATTAACCGCCATTGAAGATGCATGGAAAAAAAATTTATTTATCAAGAAACCAGTTGGACCTTGCGGTTGGTAATTTTAAATTATATTTTTTATTAAATCGTTATTGTAAATATTATTTAAATTATTATTTTTCCAGGTGTTCACGTGACATTTTCAGGAGATCCAAAATGGGGAAAAGCTGTAGAATCAATTTTGGGTAGTCTCATGACTTCGTATTGCTGCGATGGTCAAAAGGTTTTAAATATAGTCATGATTATGTGATTAACGAATTTAAATTTATTATTATTATTATTAAGTAATATTACTAATTGAATTTTAAATTGATTTTTTTTTTTTAGGATTTTCAAGTTTTAAGCGACATAATGAATAAAGTTTGCGGAAACAAACAGCATCCTCCTGTCATCATCAGTAAATTTTTATCATCGAGACATAACGTGTCGTCTAAAAGAGTAATTTTGGAAAATCATCCATCGATTTTAGACGTTTTAACATTTGATAACGATGTCGTATTTAATACGTTTATAGATCAGGTAAGTTATTATTATTTTTTTTTCAATATTCTTTATTTTATTATTATTATTATTAAAATCTTTTTTTCACTTCGTAGGCGAGGATAGAAACGATTGTCCTTTTCGAAACCGATGAAGAAGCCGCAGCTTTGATGTCACGCATAGAAAATGTACCGAAAAATTTATTCATGGGATTAACAATTTCCTGCGATCAATATTTTCCAGCTCCCAATTATAGAACGTATTATGGAAATTCAAAGAGAATGGTTATGTTTTTCGAAAATATATCGAGTAACGAGGATGCGTTACAAAAAATTGAAATGGAAAGTCTGACCGTAAATAAGTCGTTGGAGAGAAAAAAATTGGAAATTATCGAAGCGAAAAATTTAAATGCGAAAGCAAACGACACTCTCAAATCGTTCCAGGAAAAAATGAAAGAATTCAAACACGTGGAAAGAAAAATTCAAGTGGAAATAAATCAATTATCTGATTTTCAAGATACCAGACCTGTGACAATAACAAAAGTGGCTTTAGAAGAAGAGGTTTGGTTAATCTGAAAATAGATGTTGTTTTTTTAAATTGCAATTTATCATTATTATTATTATTATTATTATTATTATTATTATATTGTTACAGCTTGCAACTTTACAAAATAGTCATAGGGAGATTTCGTCGAAAGTAACTCATTATAGAAATTGTATCGACAAGCTGGTGTCGCAAAAAAACGAACTCGTAATCAAATTGAATTCCATGGCTATGGACGAAACAATAGCAGAAGAAAATTTAAAAAAGATTAAAGAAAGTTTGGAGGACAAAAATAGAGAATGCAGGGATTTGGTGAATCGAAAAAATACCGCAAACGACAAATTGAATGACGTGGAAAAAAAATTAAGGGATCTCGGTGATGAAATGATTAAATGCGAATTGGAAATCAACAATAAGTATAGAGAAGCAGAAGAAATTTGTCCGGAAAGGGTGGATACGGATAAATCCCCCGTAGAAATTCAAAAACAATTGGAAAGTAAGAAGAATTTAAATCAATTGAAATTTTATTTTTAATGGTCGTTTTATTAAATTCCTTTTTAATATTACGCAGAATGCAGGAGGTATTTAAAAGCTGGGGAAAAAGTTGTGGGATCGAAAGAGGAAACGATTAAAAATTACAAAATAAAATTAGAAGTTTATAAAAACATGATGAAAATGATAGAAATATTAAAATCCGTTTTGGAAACACTCGTACGAACGACTCGAAATAAATTGAATCGATTGAAAATCTTACAAACTCACACGGCGAATTTAGTTTCTTTTTATTTCCAGGTAATTTGTTTTTAAATGTTGTTACGAATTGTGAGTAGAATCAAAACTATCAGGTATCGTAATTGTAACATTTAAAATAAAATTTTTCAGGCGATATTGCAAACTCGAGGATATGATGGACAATTGAAAATAGATTTCGATAAGAAAATATTAGATTTGGAAGTCATACCAAAAGATGGAAGTTCGGCGAGAAAAGATACGAAAACGTTTTCCGGAGGAGAAAGATCTTATTCGACGGTTCATTATTATTATTATTTATTATATTTATCTGGAGGGGGAATGATAATTATTATTATTAATATTTGTTTTATTATCAGGTATCGTTTATACTCGCAGTATGGAAAATAGTTAATTTACCCGTTTATTTTTTGGACGAATTTGATGTTTTTATGGATAAGGTTAATAGAAAGGTTATTATGGATTTATTACTGGAACATGCAACTTTGAATAGTAATAAACAATTTGTATTTATCACGCCGCAAGATATATCAAACATTCAATCTTCGGAAGCAATATCTGTGTATAAGTTACCAGAGCCAAAAAGAAAGGACAATTAATTTTTTTTTTTAATAATAATAATAATACAAAAAGTACAAATAATTGTTTTATATTGTTTATTGTTAAAAAAAAAAACGTCTTTCATTCCATTTCTTTTACATTCATTCAAGTTTTAGTGAAAGTTCTATTCTTTTTTATTCATTCTGTTAGGTTTCATTCAAGAAAAAATTTTTTTAATAATTATTTTTATTAATTAAAACAAAAAAAAATTTTTTTTTTTTTAAGTATTTCATTTAAAATAAATTTCGTATATAAAAAAAAATAAAAAGGTAAGAAAAAAAATAACTTTAAGGAAAATTAAAAAAAAAAAAAAAAAAATTAAATTAAAAAAAAAAAGTAATAAGTAAAGAAAGACAGGTAAAAATGAAAGAATCGCAAGACATACAATAATGTTAACACTTTTTTTGAAGAGAAGTTCATTTTTCCGCCAATAGATGGCGCTGATTTCAATATTTAAATAATCAGGTAAGAAAACGTGCGAAAATTCGCGGTGACATTGCAATAAAATTTATTTAAATACCAAGAAAATACTCAGTTCAGGCATCGCTTCTCGGCCTTATGGCTAAGATCAAAGTGTAGTATCTGTTCTTATCAGCTTAATATCTGATACGACCCTCAATGAGGGTCCAGAATATTAAACTGATTTTTGGAAACGGATGGAGTGTTAGGGGCTTGCTCCACCTCCGTCACGGGTTGGCTCGGCATTGCAGTACAGCCGAGATCGGCCCACCCATAATTACCTCCAAAATAATAACTCCTCACTTCCGGTCTGGTTGCAATAAAATAATTTTTTAGATAAATTTTTAATTTTTTTAAAATTTTTGAGAATTTTCAAAATTTTGAAAAGGGTACTGGTCGATTTTCCAAAAAAATCTGAAAAATTCTAGAAAATTTAATAATTTGCTAAAAAATCTAGAAAAACGACCAGTAATTCATGGATTTTTCAAAATCCGTCCCCAATTTTGGTTTTTTTGCCAGTTTTTTGACCATATATGGTCATATTTTGTCAAAATCTCTCATTTTTCTCGTTTTTTCTTTAAAAAAAGGGATTACATGGGGTTTTTATTCATTTTAGAACGATTTTTCATGAGAATGACTAATAAAACGGCACAAAATGCCATATTTTGAGTAAAAATTTCAAAATTACCATGAAATATACCGTAATTTTGAAAATTTTTAAAATCCGAAGGTATATATTGATGAATTTTTAAAAATTTTAAAAAATCGCCACTAATCCACTGATATTTTGTTTTTAAAAATATTTTTTCAAAAATTTTTCGGATTTTTGAAAAATCGACCAGTACCCTTTTCAAAATTTTGAAAATTCTCAAAAATATTAAAAAATTTTTAAAAAAATTAAAAATTATTTAAAAAATTATTTTATTGCAACCAGACCGGAAGTGGGGAGCTATTATTTTGGAGGTAATTAAGGGTGGGCCGATCTCGGCTGTACTGCAATGCCGAGCCAACCCGTGACGGAGGTGGAGCAAGCCCCTAACACTCCATCCGTTTCCAAAAATCAGTTTAATATTCTGGACCCTCATTGAGGGTCGTATCAGATATTAAGCTGATAAGAACAGATACTACACTTTGATCTTAGCCATAAGGCCGAGAAGCGATGCCTGAACTGAGTATTTTCTTGGTATTTAAATAAATTTTATTGCAATGTCACCGCGAATTTTCACACGTTTTCTTACCTGATTATTTAAATATTGAAATCAGCGCCATCTATTGGCGGAAAAATGAACTTCTCTTCAAGAAAAAGTGTTAACGTATGCTTTGCGATTCTTTCATTTTTACCTATCTTTCTTTACTTATTACTTTTTTTTTTTAATTTAATTTTTTTTTTTTTTAAATTAAACTTCCTTTAATTTTTTACTATGTAAATTTAAAATATATTTTTTTAAAAGGTATTATTAATTGTTTTAATTATAACTTTTATTTTTTTTATTTTTATTTTGCTGTAATGGAATTTAACGGAATAAGAGCTTTAGGATTACTGATAAAAAATAATAATAATTTTTTTCTGTAATATTTTTTTTATTTTCTAAAATATTTACATTGTCTTAAAACTATAATTGTTAAAATTTTTATTAATTTAATTAAAATATTTTATTTGAAATTTTACGTTATAATAAATAACGGGGGCGTATCAGTTTTTTGATATTGATTTTTTTTTCCCTTTTTGTCTGCATTTTTATTGTACTTTAGTTAGTAATGAAAAGATTATATGAAGAAGAATGTACAAGAGCTCAATTATTTGGTTCTCCTAAACCAAATTGGAATGAATTTTTAACAATTAATGAACAATCTACAATTAGTAGTGAAAGAAGCTGTGAAAAATTTGATGAAAAAAATGCTCAGGTATTTATAAAATTTTTAAAATAAAAACCACATTAAGTAAATATTATTATTATTCAATATTTTTATTTTTTCCAGAATGAAGTAACATTTAAAGAAGATCTTGGTAAAATTGGAGGTGGTTTGGATGAATTAAACAGCACTCTTGTAAATACACAAAAAAAAATTAACAGGTTAAAGGTATGTTGACAAGAATCATTTCTTTTCGTTTCTAATCAATAATAAAACATAAACTGACATTTTCTATAAGAATAAAATTTTCTTTGTTTTTTGCAGACTATTTTTGGCGGCTGTGGTAATATTCTACGAGTTTGCTTGAATGATGATGATGATCACGATTTAAAAAATGTAAATACATTATCTGAAAATAATATTATAACAAATCAAGTTATGGAAGGTGAGTAGTTTAAAATTATAAATCTTAACTCATAATTTTTTTTTTTTCTAATTCTCGAATTTATTTTTTGCAGATGAACCAACCTTTTCTTCTCGTCTACAAAATTCAGACGGACAACTTAACAAATTGGATATTCTTATTAATAAAGCAGAAAGAGCAGAACTTAGTTTATCTGGTCAAAATAAGCAAATGAAAAGATTTTTAAAATAATTATATGTCAAGAGTACAATTACATTATTTAATTTCTTTTAATGAAAGTTTTTAAAAATTCAAAATCGATAAATTTTTAATAAACTAATTAAAGACGAAAGTTTTAAATGATATTATGACATTTTTTTTTTTTTTTAAAACAAAGTGTTGTATGTTGTAAATAAATAGTTGTTGTATTGCAATTTCTTTATTTTCAGTCAATAATACAAAAATCTAACTTTCAGTAAGTATATTAAAGCATTTTTAAAGATAATTATATAGTATTAGTACTAATCGTCTTATTAATAAAAATCCAATTTGTTTTCGAAAACATGATAAATAAATCCCTAAAACTTAAAGTTAAATTATTTAGTCTACATCTGTTTGTCAAATATTAAATTTTATTAAATACTTATTTATTTTAATAATTAAGCTCTTACTTATCTATTTTTTTTTTATTATGATACACTTGACAAAGATTTAAAAAAAAAAAAAAAACTAACAAGTATATTAAACTAAAACAAAACGGTTTTACTTGATTATTGAATTTAATTGATTTATTTAATAAATCAATCAAGTTAATTAATTAATCAATCGAAACGAAATAAATAAAATTTAACACTTAAAAAAACATGAAATATAATTATAAAATGAAATTCTAGCAGACGACGACGATTAGTTATCGCGGTTCGAAAATATGTTTTCTTCTGCTTTTGAAATGTAAACACATGTTTTGATTAATGTTTTCAAAATTTTATTAAAAATTAAAAAAAAGAAAAAAAATTAAAAAATAATTTTATTAAATATCAAAAAAAAAAAAATTTTTTTTTTTGTTTTTTTTAAAATAAATTTTAAAATCGGTAACGTAAAAAAAAAAAAAAATTAAAATAAATTATTTTATAATGATTCGGCATGGAATTTTTGGTCGTCACAATTTCGATTTAATTAAATATCCAAAATTCACTTCGTGCACATCATTCAAGGGTTGTAAAGTTAAAGAATTTAGTTTATTTACAAATTTATCGACTCGACATGGAATCAGCACGAGTAATGACCGTAAAAGAGCAAAAGAAGAAATTATTGAAACCACGTAAGACTTTCCAAAAAATAATTTATTTAAAAACTTATTAATAGTAAGGTTAAAGTCCGTGACTTTAAACTCATACTTTTATAGTAACTTTTAAACATTTTTTTTTTTTTTCAGATTCATTTAGTAAATTCATACTTCTAAATTAGTTATTTTATTTTAGTGTTAAACCAATTAAAATGGCTTACACTTCCTACGAGCTGACTCAAGATAACGAAGAAGCCGATTATCCTATAATAATTATGCACGGATTACTCGGATCGAAAACAAATTGGAATTCGCTATCGAAAGCCATCCATAATAAAACAAAGAGAAAAGTAAAATATAAAAATTTTTTTTTAAAATTTTCATGTTAAATTCTTATAACAGAGTAAACATAAATTTTTGCAATAAAACTTTTTCGAAATAACAAAAATTTTAAGAATTCAAGTCATTTACTACGTAAACTGAATAAAATATTTTTATTAAACGATTTCAATTTGAAATGGTATAAATAATTAAAACATTTCAGATAGATTTATAAAATATTATTTAGGTAGTAGCAGTAGATGCCAGAAATCATGGAGAAAGTCCTCATACAACAGAATTAACATATAATCATTTAGCTGCCGATATAAAAGCATTAATGAGTGATTTATCATTTCAAAAAGCAAGTTTGATTGGACATTCGATGGGAGGTAGAGCAGTCATGTTAGTAGCTCTTAGATATGTAAGTATTATTTTAATTGTTTCATTTAATTATTTATTTAAAAATTTTTAATTTTTAATTTTTTTTTTTTTTTTTTTTTTATTGAATAGCCAGAACTTGTAAAAGAGCTTATAATAGTTGATATATCACCGTTGAGAACTAGTCCAAACTTAAGACAACTCATGAAATGTTTCGAAGCCATGAGACTCGTTAAAATAGAACCCAAGATACCATTATCTTCTGCTAGAAAATCTGCAGATAGTCAACTCTCAAAATACATAGCGGTAAGTACAAAACTATATTAACTAATCAAAATGGAGAAACGAAAAAAGTTATCAAAGACATGTTTATTATATTATTTAAGAATCCAGGATTGAGACAATTTTTATTGACAAATTTGGTTGAAGGAGAAGATGGTAAATATAAATGGAGAGTTAATTTAGATTCTATAACTAGTAATTTTTCTACAAACATTTCAAATTTTCCAAATATAAAAACAACTTTCGATGGACCAACATTATTCATTGGCGGTTCCAATTCGGACTATCTTCTGTGAGTTTTATAATCAAAAAAAAAAAAATTTTACAATATTTACAATAATTAAAATTTACCTCAATTTAATAATTAATCTATCCATTAAAAAAAAAAAAAAAAAATTTTTAGTAAAGACGAAGAAAACGATATTAGAAAATTATTTCCGAAAGCTACATTTTCATACATTCAAGATGCTGGTCATTGGGTACATTCTGAAAAACCGGATGCATTTTTAAAATTAGTTACATCATTTATACAAAACCAAGGTAAAATTAATTTCAATAAATGATAAAATATTTATCTCTGTCTCTTTCTATAAATGAATCAGATAATAATAATTTTTTTCTATTATTTTTGGGTATATAAGAAAGTATAAAGAAATCAACTTAGTCAGAAGTGTGATGACAGGAATGTGTTTTTTTTTTTTCTTTTTTGTGATTAGTTAGCCGACTGTGATAATAAAAAATTATTTCCCTCCCCCCCCCCCCCGGTACTACTGTAATTTTAAATAATAATAACAAAATTGTATGTGAAAATAATAATAATAATAATAATAATAATAAATAAACTCACCATGAATAATAATGTTAATTTATTGCTTATAATTAGATATAACAAATATTATACACAACTAATCAATACACGTTAAAATATAATAATAATAATAATAATAATAAAAACAACTTATTTATATTTACATGTCGAAAAACGTATAAAAAAAAAAAAAAAAACTATAGAGGTATGTTATATTTCACCGCCATATTTTCTCTCGGCGGCGGAAATATATAAAATTTTTAAAAACATAGATAACACAACAAACAAACGTTTGAAATCGATTATTTTTATTATTACCAACAACGACAACGACAACAACAACAACAACAACGAGTTTTTCTAATTAAATAAAATTATCCAACCACGGTAGATATTTGGCAACATCGGTAAAAACTACGTAATGACTCGTATCGCAAACTCTGCTATCGTTTCTTGCTGGTGAAATACTGACAATACCTCTCAGGTGCCACCTTTCAATTCCGGTTCTATCTTTGTATGGGAATACCATACCGCCACCGCTATCTCCATTGCATACGCTAGTACCTAAAAGTTAACAATAAAATCGATATTAATAAACGAAGTAATAATAATAATAATAATTTAATTAGTTACCATTTTTAAATCCGGCACAATAAGTCATATTGGATGTAAATTGTGGATAAAAATCTGGATAACTCCACAAGCATGTTTTCTGTTCTACGACTGGCATTTTAGCTTGTCTCAGTTCTTCGGTTAACATTTTATGTTCGTCGAATCCCCAACCGACAACCTAATAATTTTAGAAAAAAAAAAAACTTTTCGTAAACAATTTTATCGAAAAACGATTATATAAAATTAATGATGAACCTACGGTGCCTAATTTTCCTTCTACTTCTTCTATTCTCGTATTTGTTCTATCCCACATGCAAATGGGTCTCACATAATCTGAATATTCAACCGGAGTCGTAAGTTCTAAAACTGCTATATCTGATCTAAAATCCGTGCTGTTGTATTTTGGATGTACGGTTATTTTAAAAACCTAAAATGATGAAAATCTCCCGTCAGAATCTTTTCTTTTATTTGTGTGGTTAGAATGAAAAATGGAAAATGTCAAACCTGTCGATTTTGAACTCCTCCTTCGCTCCATAATTTCAAATGATATTTTCCTAAATAAACAACGAGGGTGTTTTCATCCAATGGTTGAGTCGTGTATGTTTTCGTGACGCAATGAGCCGCTGGAAAAATTAAATCAATTATTTAAATTTTTTTTTTTGTTTTTAAATGAGAGAAAAAATAGTAAAAAAAAAAAAAAAAAAAAAAAAAAAGTACCCGTGAGAACGTATTTGTTGTTAATCAATGATCCACCGCAGAAAAACGTCAAATCGGTACCGACATTTTTATACAAAGCTACGTGCCATGGCCACTGTCCTCTGGAAGTTAATTGTCCGTGAGTGATTAAAGGACTCGGTTGAATCGAAGGAGTACCACATTCTTGATATCTTTGATAATCTAAAAGTTTCCAAAATCTCATGTAAAAAAAAAAAAAAAATTTCCAAAATCAAACCAAATATTTCCTTTTTTGTTACCCACCATTCGTTTGTGGATTAGGAGGATTCGGATTCGGATATGGATTTGGATTAGGTGACGGATAAGGATTAGGATTCGGATAAGGATGAATATTAGGTTTATTTCCACCGGAAGAAGAAGAAGACGATCCATGATTTTTATTTCCGTTTCCTTTGTTACCATTTCCGTGCCCTTGACCGTGACCATTACCATTACCATTACCGTGTCCTTGTCCGTGTCCATGATTATTTACCGAGCCTTGAGCAGGTTTAGCTGCGTGTGGTGGAGGTTTGCCATTGGAATGAGGAGGTCTACCAGGTGGTTTTTTACCTCCGCCGCCAAACGAATTTAAATCTGTTTCTTCGTAACCGTTTGGATTCGGTTTGAGAAATGGAGGAGGTTTCACGGTACTTTTTATAAAGTCATCAAATGGCGGAGTCGTTCTTCTAATTCAGATATAAAATTTTTTTAAATTTAAACATAAAAAACGAAAATAATCAAATGGGAAGTACATAATGGCGTACCTTTCTAAACGCGTCGTCGTTTTTTTCGTACTACTTTCATATTCGTAATTCATGATGGGTTTTTTCGGTTTTTCCGTGTAGTATTCGGTTGTTCTTTTCAAATGAAGATCTCCTGGATTTTCATACATAGGTCTTTTTGTGGTTGTTTTTTGTGCTGCGTTTTGCATTAACATTAAATACATAAGTACATACATCTTACATGCAAGACATTCGTTATAATTTTTTTTTTACTCACCACGATTCGATGGACAAATCAATCTACCATTTAGATTAATCGATTTCAAATAAGGAACAGGTTTTTTACCGTTAAATTTAACCATTATTCTGACATTTTCAGCGGGTCCAGGAACTAATTTATGATTCAGGGATAAAAGAGTAAAATGTATATTGTCTTTCGTTTTCACATCAGCTATCCAGTTCTGGAAAAAGAAATTTATCAATGCAACAAACTCATTTTGTTTTTTTATGTTTGTACCTTATTTATTGGTATCATCATTATCATTTTACGCTACCGTTAAAAGCTCTGCGGGTCTATCTAAAGTAATGTCAAGTCTCATCCCGTTTAAAACTTCATCCACGGTCACGTATATATCGGCAAACCAACGGTCTTCTTCAGGTTCTCTTCCTTCGTATTTGAAAACTTTCAGGCACGGACTCGCGGGAAAAACTCTTGCGGGTTCGTATTGTAAAGGCCTTGAATAATGATTGTTAATATCAGGTTGGTGGCTTTCGGGGAATCCTTGAAATTGAGTAAAGTAATAAATGAGAAAAATAGGATATTTTTATATTGATATAGGCACTCGTAGAATTTTATTATTCGTACCTGAATAGCTCGAACTGTTTTCTTTAATGGGTCTGCTCCCGTTGTCGGTCATTGATTCACCATAATATTCATTTGTACCACCTTTATTATAATTATTTCTTTCATCCGTTTTTCGCATGGTGTACGACACATCACTCGGCCTCGTTTTTTCATATTCGGAATTTCTACTGTGCTGCTGCTGCTGCGGAATTCTTTCGTTGGTCGATTTAACTTTTTGATAATCGTAATCGGATGACGGTTCATCATATTCCCTTTTGTAATTCGTCGATAGTCTACTTCCCGAAGAAGGTTTAAATTCATCGCTTTCCCTATCGTACAAAGGCCTTTTTTCATTTATTTGCCTTTTATCCTGCTCTCTGATGTGTCTTCTTTCGCTTTCGAGTGGATAACCAGCGTCTCGCTCACGACTCCTCTCGTTCGAAGCCGCATACAACAAGTCTTCGGCTATGGCATCTTCATAATTTCTCTGATAGTCGTTCTCAAGGGGTATTTTCGGTCTGACTCTTTGATCGACAACCGTATCCGCATAATCCTCAATGTAACCGGGTGATATTTTCAAACGATGATGGTCTTGATTGGCATTTTGAACTCCGTAATCACTTCCTGAATGTTTAGTCGGGCTAACGGGATGATGAGGATTATTTTGATCGACGTAACTCGGTTCTCTTTGAATAATGACTTTTTTTATTTCCGGACCGTGATTAAGAAATATGGGTTCAGAGTGAACGGGGGTTATAATTTTTGGCGATGACCAATTTGTTTGTCTCTTACTAGGATAAGACCCCGTTTCTTTTGACTGATATTCGTGATTAGTATTTTGATTGATGTGTTTAATTATCGGAATGCTCGGTTGCTGAAAGTCAACTTTTCCTCCTTCAGACTCTATACTTAATGGTAAAACATCAAATATATTTTGTTTTTCTACCTTTTCTTCTTCTTCTTCTTCTTCTTCTTCCCTTTCCCCTTCCGCTTCATCATCATCATCATCATCATCATTTAAACTTTTTGACGTTTTCTCATCTGGATCGAAATTAGCGGCTTCGACGTAAATTTTTATTTTTTGCGATCCTTTTAATTCGGGAAGATTTTTATTTGGCGTTATGAGGATTTCATAATTGGGCGCACTGTCTTGCGGTACTTTTTGAATTCCAAAATTATTTTTATTACCATCATCTGGCCTTTGCGACAGCATCAACTCGATAATTTCAACCATTTTATGCGGTGGCGTGTCTCCATTTTTACTATGTACGGCTACCGATTGAAAATCGCACTTGTTTAAAAAAACCGATATCAATACCGTCACCGTCCAGAAAAAAGTGGCGGCCATCTACAAAAAAAAAAAAAAATTTATTATATCGTTTTATTATTTTACGTATACATATATATATTTTTTTTTTTGTTTTTCACTAGTTTAGACTTTTGACTTTTTAATAATAATAACCACTTAATTTATTGTATTTACATATATCTAAAACTACAATAATTACACACTCGTTTAACATAGGAATTAATTAAAAAAAAAAAAAAACTCACTATTCCAGTTATTGTATTATTATTATTATTATTATTTAATACTCAAGGTAAAATTAACGATCAAGAGGTTAATAGTATATTATTATTATTATTTCCTTCTTTTTTTTTTTTTTAAATTGAGTGATTTGCGTTCGTTTTCACGTTACAAAAATTTCATTTGTAAATTTTTTTATAGTTGCCTGATAAAATATTTCTTTGGTGAAATCACACGTGAAACACACGCACGCACACGCACGTACACATCATTGACAATTTCCTGTAAAAAATAAATTTCTGAGTATCAGGTTTAGTGCAAAAAACCTTTCCACCTAATAATTCTTTGAAACGTTAACAAATAATAATACTAATAATAATAATAATAAAATTTCCTTGCATTTTGCCTGAATAAAAAATCAAAAAGTTAAAAAATTTTTTTTTTTATTAATATTTTTGTTATCAATTTATTTATTTATTTAAATATAATATCAAAGACCGGTCGAATAATTTATTAATAATAATAATAATATTAAAAATCTTTTTTAATTTATTACTCGAAGCTTTTAAAAGAGATCAAAATTAGGAGTGGAAGTTTAAAAATGACGATGATGATGATGGTGATGGAAAAAAAATTAATAATGATGATGATAATTTTCAAAAAAAAAAAAAATAAAAAGCTGAATTTCCATTTGCGAAACGTATTCGAGGGGGGAGGGAGGGGAGAGAGGAAGAAGGGGGGGAGGGGGATTTATAACTCGTATTAGAATTTTTTTTGTTAATTGTCAAAGTCAAAGTCGAAAATAAAAAAAAAAAGTTTTCTTTGTTATTTATTTATTTATTTATTATAATTCTGGAATCGAAAAAAAAAAAATTTATTAATAAATAAATTTTTTTTGAAAAGTTGTTTGTTGTTCCCTGTAAACAACCGGCATTTATTAAACTAGTTTAAACTGCAATTAATTTTTATTGACTCCTCTTCTGAATAATAAATTTTGTCTCGTTTATTTACATTTAATTTATATTACTTAAAAAAATTCAAATCACCTTTTTTTAAAGAAGTTACTAATAATAAAATGAGCCGACGATTTGTTTATTACGACAACTGACCTTTTTTCCCCCAACCCCCCCCCCACCCCCTCCCCCCTTTAAAAAAAACCTGTAATTCGACTTTTTTTTTTTACTTACTTACTTACTATGGCAAAATAAATAAAAAAAAAAAAAAAAACTTATGTAAACATGAAACAAATAAATAATTTTTTTTTTTTTTTTTTGATAATGTTGTGATGGTGGGAATCACCTTTTGCTTGAATGAAACATTTACATTATTATTATTATTATTATACGATTAAAAATAATTTATTATTATAAGAAAAAAAGACGCCATTTTATAAAAAATAAACGATTCGCTTTAAAAAAATTTTTTTTTTCCTTCTAGTTTTCAATAACTTGGTTAAAAAAATGCAATTAAAACCGT